GTAAAAAGTAATTTCTGAAATTATGGCTTCGAAAGTCAATTTTAATCGGTCCTCAACTACCTGCCGTCCTTGAAACCATGCAATAAAGATAAGCAAATTCATCAACTTACAATAACATGTATCTTTAAACTTTTTGTTTTTTAACTTCATATGGTTTAATTCCATTCTAAATTTCATTTTGTCGGAACAAATCAAACCAATAATGAATTTTAAATTATTTGTAAAAGGCGTGAATAAACATTGGAATAAGTTCGATTACAGGAGCAAAATTACTTGCTAAATAATCACGAACAATACGAACATACTACTACATAAAATCAGGTATCATTCATACTCAGTAGTTCAGCAATGTTACTCAAGACAATGATACAGCTTAAAATACTAAATCCATATTTTCTAATATACATAATGTACAACCTTCAGCCCAAACAACTGTTGACTCCAACCTTTGTACATTTTACTTTACGCTTTTTATATATTAATACTTAGTAAAACGATTTTAAAAATCAAAAATAATATAAGGTTTTTAAAATTGGAAAGTTCATCAAAGTTAGAAAAAATAACAAAAAACTAGAAAAACAAGATTTGATCCGATATAACAAACACGAGAACCAGTTGAGTCTCTATGATAGAACTTATCCTGCTTTGCTATCATAATTATGTATGTATACAGTATAGGTTTCATAATTTTTCGTTCCATCTCTTTTGTTATTATTCAAATTCAAAATCACATTCGGTCGTACTTTAAAACTCAGAGAGAAATACTTTATTAAAAGTAATGCTACCCTACTACATATGGCTGCTTCATACACAGCATACTTATCAATTCATATGGACATAACTATTATATTACATTTTTTCTATTTATGTGTATATATATATATATATATTCTTTTTTTTTTCCTTTCCCCTTTTCATACTACCAGTCCTATAAAGCATCAACAATAACACATATCAAGCTATAAACATTGTATAACAGATGCATTTTCTTAAAAAATGAATAAAAGTTTTTCAGCATGGAAAATCTCCAGCATATAGTATATCGATACGGCTACTCAAGAAACAAAATTGAGGTCTCTTTTCATTATTATACTTCTGATGCGCTAAAAGTCGCGTTTTAAGTTAACTTTCATTTTTTTTTTCATTAACCACCTGCGTAACATGAGCTTAATATAATTCGGATTCCGACAATATAAATGTGCTGTTTTTATAAATGTCATCGTTGGTATTATTTAATATTTAATTATAGCGATATAAATATTAAATTCTGTATCTAAAAAGGTACATAAGCAAATAAAAATACCCACATTGAAATAGATATAGCGTCTATAATTTTTACTTTCACTTTCCCTATGTTTGAAAATACTTATTTCTGCATATAGGGTTGTAAGTGAAGTTGTGTGATGCGCGCACCGCAGTCAGTTGTTCACTGACCAATATTTAAGTGAATTATTCGCACGGGCAAAACTAGTCACATGAACTTCTATAAATTTGTGTTATTGAACTTCTATAAAGTCCAATATTGATTTGTTAACACTCACTTATGAATAAATACTAACATTTTATTATTGTAACATTATCTGTAAAGAAAGTGAGTATTCACTCCAAACAGTATCGGCCTCATGTCAACACTAAATATAGACAGGGGATCTGTCAGCGAGGACACTCAATTGGACAGAACTGTCTCGAATCCAAACGACCCAGGAAAACAAGACATATGGAAGGTAGTGTGCCTGATGTGTAACATCTGCGTCCGAGTTCCACTTCGGGGAAACCTCTCGTGTGCCCTCAGTGGCCATTAATGCAAATGGCATTACGATAAAATGAACTTAAATAATTTTTCGTGTTTTAAATTAATCTTCCGGAACTGATTAAATAAAAATATAAATAAAATGATACATTACGAAATATTCCATGATATAAATAAATGTGACCATAAAAAATATTATGAATAATAATTGAAGAGAAGATTGGTTCAGGTGATAAGTGAAAAAAATTGTAAAAATAAATAAGTATATTTATTTTTGTCGACGTTTCGGTTCTAAGTTCAGGCCTTCATCAAGGCTAAGGAAAAACCAGATAACAATAAGTATGAGAAACTATAAACATTAAAAAGAAAAAACTAATATTTAGGTGAAAGGTATAGTTTAAAAAATATATATAAAAAATAGGTAGAATAAACTTAAAGGAAATATAAAATAACGGTAACAAAGTTAGGCAATTATGAATAAAATATCAACAGTAACAGAGAACTATGAAATAAATAATAACGACAACAAAGTAGGGACTAATGAAATAAGGTAACATAAGAAATGAAAAATGAATTAATAACGAAACAAAATATTTGGGCCAAAAGGTCGGCAAAAAGTAAAATAAATATACTTATTTATGATTATTTTTTTTTTTTTTTTTAACGTTGACCCCAACCAATCTCCTCTTCAATCATTCACTACTGTCAACCATTAATCCACAATTATAAATAATAATGTATGTAGAATACTATATAAAAAGTTAAATTACATTATTATCATTATTATTAGAGTAATATATTCTATTGGCAGCTGCCTGAATGTTCAATAGTTCTGTAACGACTATAACAAATAAGAGATTTTTTAAAAAGAGTTTATTTATTCATAAAGGATGATCTTGGGTATGTTTATACCAATGTGGGATTTTCAACCACTTACATGTTAGGAGCCCTTACACATTAGTTATATTTCAGCTCCCATACAATATTTAAAGTTAATAATTATAACTGTACCACGGAAGTAAAGAATACAATGTGCATTTTTTTTTATTAAACGATTTAGTAACAAAGAAACAAATTTCAACAGCCCAAAGTTATGGAAAATTGGCTTTCCTGAATAAATAAAAAATGTGACATTTTGACCTTCGTACAGAATACCTCCGGGATACAGAATCATAAAAAAAATTGAAATAAGAAAAGAAAATGAATGTACAAGTCATAAAAGAAATTACCCAAACAACTTTTAAAAAAAAAATAATTCTGAAATGTAAGTGAGATTTTCAAGAAATAAAAACAATTTTTTTTGTTTCCAATTTCATGTTATTTTTCAAATTGTGCAACTTTAAAGACATCCAACTTCATGACGATAACACTCCGTTAAAATTCACGACACCTTTAAATGTATATCGCAGGAAACAATGTTTAACTCATAATAATAACAATTTGATCCGACCAAGGCCAATAATAATAATTAAGATTTACAAAACCTTGACATTTTTGTTTAATAATTTTAAATATTCAGGTTTTATTAAATATTTATTTTAATAATATATGAAATTACCAATTAAGATTATAAAAATCACTATTTTATAGTTGGTATTAAAAGATACATGGACGTGTATGGTCGACCTCCTTCGTATTTCGATTTAGTATTTAGTATATTTTTAAAACCTGACTTCCATCAATACAGCTATATTCGGAGAGTTCTAATCTTATAAAAAAATAAAAAATAAAATAATAAAAAAGCCTAAGCCTGTAACCTATAAAATTTTTGTATAATGCGATAAAAATTATTTCTATAATTATATTATTTTTTTAAATATGTAATATTATAATTAACCCAAACTAAAAAACAGAAATAGATAAATTTTTATGGATCTATTGAGGCAATAACAAAAATATTTGGTACATATAAATAATTAGTGAATCTTGTATTTGAAGGAATTTTCAAGGTAAATAAAAACTGATAGGAGCTAAATTTTAGAACTATTTAGTCTAGACAATAACATTTCTTCGTGTTATCAGCCTGACAAGCACACCGAATAGTTGACGGGAGGATAACAAACGTTTGACCGAGTCGAAATCTTAAACTCATTTATGTGTTATTAAATTTGTTCTTTTCGAAGAAACAATATAATAATTACCATTTTCAAGAGTTATATTTTCAATAAAACGGTTTAAAGAAAATAAAAGTTTTCTCAAATGGAAAGATAGTTTTTATCTGTTTACTTTCCTTTTGATGAATTGCCGATTCGTTAAAAAATAAATCTTATCTGAGTGTAAATAGGTTTCGTAACGAAAGATTGAAACGTACACTCGAAACATATTGGATTCAGAGCAGATGTAGAACAATAAAATACTAATTAATATTTTGAAATATCATTGATGACAATGCGGGTAGTATTTAGTTATGGAAGGCCGCAAACTAGCCCATGTCTACATTTAAGGCCGGGATACTTTTCTAGGATTAAATATATTTCTATTACCGAAGTTGCATGCGATCCCGCGTTAACCTTTCGTGACGGGGAATCATTTGAATATTTCATTAACAGATGCTAAAATAAAAATCACACATGGCAATTTGACTGATTAAATATTTTAAAATAACCTTTACACATATTCTTATTTTACAGCGCCGATTTTCAAAACATCATTTTTTATACGTCGAATTTAAATGCATTTAATTAATTACCAGCTGAAACTATGAAAAAGAATATATATCGTTATGTCACTTCAACATTGTTAAACTGGGATTTGAACAATTTTTAAGGGAGCATAGAACATTTTATATAAATAAAGTAATTATTATAAATCATATAATAGATGCATTGTATAATATATAATACAGTGAAATTTATCGTTCTCTTGGGCGATGGTTTCGACAAGCGAAATGTCAAAATAAAGTGTTATAATAAATGATTTTGACACAGGCATCAAGATTCAGGTGTTTTCCTTGAAACATGTAAACGCCTATGTGTTTGAAGGTCTCTTAAATCAAACATTTACCGTTTTCAAGATGACGCACGGACCTACAATCATTTCATTGAGGTGCCATTTTTGACATAAGATACATTTTTAAAAAAATAATTAAAACATCGCTTTTTATATCAACCTATGACGGCAAATTAAAAATCTATTGTAAAAATAAAGAGGCAATAGCTATGAGTTCTATTGGGTACCAAGGATAATATGTTAAGTGGGTTGATTGATTGAAAAACCAAAAAAGGAAAAACATGATTTGTAAAAATTGTTTATGGTTGGTGATACAACCAAAGTATCAAGGGTTTTGATTTTACCCAGCAATGCCTTCTATACTCCACACTTAATAAGGGATATTGTATATAGGTATGTATTTTTATTTATTTTTAATTTACTTATCTTTAAGTTATTTTATTATACTTATTGTATATACTTTTTGATTATTATTTTGCTTCTATTTATTTTTATATTTTTTTGTATGGATAGTGTGAATGTCATCTCCCTATAACAATAGTCCAAGTGACAGGATGTTATATTATTCAATAAATAAATAAATAAGAGAGAGAACTACAAATCAATAATTCTTCTTTTACTTATGTACCAACCCAATATAATATGTCCCAACATATACTTATAATACAGGGTTGGTATAAGTATACAGATACATTTTATTGCTTAATATTTAAAATGAAGAGATGTTTTCAGTGAGGCAAGCTAACTATTTATTAAATAATTCGATCCTTCGACATTGTCATTATGTAAATAGCTTAAGTAATTGTGTGTTTTGTATTGACTGCCTTGATGATATGATATTGTTTTTACGAATAAACATGTCTCTCCAATGCCGCTTATACTTCAAACGTATAAAGAAAAAGAAGCATAGATATCTAATCACTTGCATCTTATCTCGCACAGGTATAACAGATATAAATTATATTTCTAAAAATGTTTAGCAAATGAAAAACAATAAATATGAAGAAAAACCCCGTTCAAAAGGTTTCAATGATTCATATAGCAATAATAATTGCTATCTTATATTTAATGGTAACAGAACGCAATAATCTATGTCAGATCAAACCACTTCAATTCGGAACCTTTGATATCATGTTTTTTAATAACGTTTATAACTTATAACTATATCCGCTATTATCTATCCGTTGATTCAGATTTAAGAGTTAAATCTAACGAATTGTATCTGCTCGGCAAATTACCAGTGGCCTTGTAATTTCCATTTAACTGAATTGATGAGAATAAACAAACATGTCGGTGGATGAAGCCCTAAAAACCCTCATACAATCTGCAATTAAGACCGTTAAGACCTACTATATGAGACATAAAAATATTGACGAATTGAGCGATTTCCATGTTAAATTAAGATATATTACGAGGCAAGCACCTAAAGAGCTTCTTATGCTCCAAATTCAGTATGGAAAGAAAAAAAGTGATGTAGATTCTGAAACTACAATCGAGCTGTGACTGCTGTGTGGTTTATGGATTAAGAACATAGTTCATATCAATTCCCATAGCTAAGTTTAAAATCTAACGACAATGAAAGAATCTCGTTGGAGTTTTCTGTTATTGGATCGATTTTCCGAAAACAAGCACCTCTATCTGAGACTAAACAACGGCCAGAATTGAAATGATCCCTTTCCTCCCCATGACGTGATCTGGACTGATTGCAGACTAAAACCTCAAACAAAAACAGTTCGCTCTGCCTTCCTTCCTCACTTATAGGGCTTATAGATATCCTATAGCTTTCGGATGTAATATTTTCATTACAAGGAATGGATAGGAAATATTATTATTATCACTAAATTTAACGGGAAAGAATCTCGTTTTAAAGTCGATTATTGTTATTATCCTGATGTTCGAACTACTAAAGATAGGGAGTAGATAAAATCCACACGACCTCCCCTTCTTACTTCCTGCCCCTGATAGGATCGCTTACCTTGAGACTTGTCCTCCTCCTCCTCGATGACGAAGTGGTGAGGCAGGGCGGCCAGCCAGGACGGGGGCCTGGAGCCAGGCCTGGAGGCGGGCGGGGACGGCGTGTGTGACTCCTCGTCCTCGCTGAGCAGGGAGTCCCTCTTGCCGCCGAAGAGGGAGCTGCTGAAGGCGTGGAACTCCCAGTTGTTGGCCGGGACGGTCTGTGCCTCCTTCGGCCCCCCGTCAGCCGAATCCTTGTCCTTGCCCTTGCCACCCCCGGGGGCGTACTTCTTCTTCCACCGCTTGGCGCGGAAGCTCGACATCCGGAACGAACTCTCGGGTGCAGTGAACCACATTACAGCACCACATAGCCACACAGACTGGCTGGATTTAGCTCACGACCCAGGCCCCCACCACTTCCTCCTATCTCTCCCTCACCGGCTACTCCACACACAGTACCCCACCGCTGCCTCTTTAAAATTCCATCTTGTCAGTAGTAGTCATCACAGGAATCGTTTTCCGGGATCCATTTATTAGAAAACAAGTAACGTTTATCGATTTTCTATACCGATTCCAATGATCCTTATAAGTAAATTCAAAAAGTCCTATCACTTATATTCACTCAAATAAATTAATAAAAAATTGTAATATTCTTTTTAGAAGAAATCCTTTTCGTTCCATCCTGGTAACAGTTCCTGTATGTGTGCTAGTACATCAACTTAAGAAAATAAATAATTGTAGAATACAAGGGACTCCATCCCATAGAGAAAAAAAGGTGAACATCCCAATCACTGATATTTAGGGATAAGAAAAAAAACAAAAACAATTGTAGATATATTTTTTTCTTGACAACCAACATAAGAGACCTTAAGATGTATCCGAGAACAGCAAAAAAGAAATTTAACAGAAGATGTAAAGGACAAATTAAGAATCTAGGATTATGAAGAAAAAATAATAATAAATTATAAGTGTCTTGTTATTATTTATACTTTAAATGAAAGAAAGCATATATTTCATGATATACTTAAGAACATACATTTATAAATTTAAAAAAAAAGTAAAGCATACAATCCAAATGTATAAAAACCCAGATTTTTAATCCTTCCTTAACTAACAATCCAATCATCATAAGTAAAGAAACAAGTTAAATCAGTTACGAGAAATCCAGCAACCCTATATCTATTTATAATAAAAATACCTTTATTCTTATTGGAAATTATTTTAACATCACAATAAGTTAAAAATTGTCAGTAATATCAAATAATGCATTACATCGACGATGATAGTTTGAAAATGATTAAAATCTAGAGAAGACGTGTAGATAAGTAATTTAAAGAAAACTAAAATAATCTAACTTAAATATATTATATACTAAATTGATTTGGAGGAAACAGAGGAGACCATTCAAGACATGTAACCGGGTTGTGGTGCAGTGAAATAATATTATAATATACTGAATTATATTATATAATATGTTTATAATGTCAATATTGTGTTACAATTACAATATTTTAATCTTCTCTGACCAATTATAATTTTTAGAGTTCATACTTGTAAATGGTTCACGAAACCGAAACATTGGGAACAATAGAAGGATAATAAATATAACAAATAGGATAATAATTTTTTTAAGCCCCTTGGCCAAAAATCATTTAAAGAATAAATTATTGTTTCTGTAGATTAAATATTATTAATAAAGAAATGAATCTTTTCTTAGAAAGATAAAAGGTAACTTAAATTTAAAATAGTTGCAAAAACATCGATTAAATATACCTTTAATACGACAATCAAGCATAACAGTAAATATAATTTACAACGCGAAATAATAATACTCTTTTTATGTTGGACCAGAACATCATTAGAACTTAAGTTCATTATGAATATTTAAGTCAGAACTTAATTTTGTTATTATGCGGTGAAACAGTTGTAGCTAACTTCACAAAAATTTTGACAATGCAGAATTACAAAATAAGATATTTAAATAAATTACTGTCATGTAATATCTTTAGTTTATGCCTATTGTTTAGAGAGTTGATGTGGAATGTTTTTACACTCTTGATTACGTCTTGATGTTGATTAATTTCGCAAAAAGTCGCCTAATCGCAAAAAGGAGGAGCGGCGGGGTGAAGGAGGAGCTCATACTAAGTAGATTTTTTTTTTAAAACGTAATTCATTTAAGTCTGCTTTGCCAATAATATTGCCGTTTCGATAGGAGCAAGATTAGAAAACAATTGTAACATTGATCCTCTCCGATGTGTAAAATAATAAGAGAAGTATTTCCAGTGAACACTACGACAGGGCAACTATGTTGGCGTAAAAATATGTTTGTTCGGACTTGTAAATGTATTGAAGTATATCATTCCTGTACTTGCTGATTTATTCAAATTTTGGGTTACCAGGTATCCTACTCGATTATATATATAAACCTAAAATACGTTAGCCTGGACTTGTACGGTTCTAGAATCACATCTATCAACAGTTTCCTATAAATTTTATACATCATAAGTATAATGTCGCTAATTTTAATTTTATCAATGTATTTGGATTATTCTAGTCTAACTTTTCGAGTATAAGCATTACATGACAGATTTTTTAAGAAAAGAAGTTATCTAATTCTATAAATAATTTTATTAGAATTTAATAGCGGTTTTTAAATTCATAGGCGTAAATATATTAACTAATTTTACTATAGATAAAAGAATATTTCTATTTCAATCTACTTTATTCAGCGAATACAGACCAATAGTTTTCACTGTGCGCTTCAGAGCAGATGGAATTTAAAAAAAAAAAATCATGTAACCCACCAAAAATGGACTCTTGATGTTCTGAAACTTTTTTCTACCCCTGACTTTTTTTTCCCCTCAGTGGAGAGGCGCTTCCCTACAAGCCCCTGATGCACCACGGCATCAAGTAAGAGTAAGCCATCTTAAAATGCGTAAAGGGCAAAGCAAAACAAATTATAACTAAACAAATATTTTCTCAATCATTTACTCAATGGTCAATACATGAATAACAGCCAAGGCAAAAAAAAAAATAGTTTAATAATTTTGTTAATTTAAATTTTTAGAAAATCGTTTTTCAAAATGATAAAAATGTTAAATTATTATGGGATGAAAACACATGTACGAATGTTCAAACTAATCCAATCTAGGAGAATTTAAAGATTTTGTTTTTCCTTTGCTTTACACGGCCTTCAAGATTATATAATATAAGCCCTTCAGTTGGCTGAATGGCTAAATCTAATTTCAACATTCTTTATTATTAATTTTAGTGATTTTGTTTGTGGGAAAATTTATACCTCTATTATACTATATAATTTATTATACTGATATACAAGACAATCTTGAAACCTATCTAGACCTACGGACTTGAACTTTGGGAGACAGCTAAATTTTCTAACATCAAATGCATCCAATCCTTTCAGTCCAAAATCCTCCGAACAATAGTCGATACTCAGTTCTATGTAACCAACAAAACCCTACATCATGACCTTAATATCCCATTTGTCCTCGGCCTTATCCCTGAAAAATCTTCCGAATTCCATCGGAACCTTATATATCATCCGAATCCCCTAGCACAATCCCTATTTAGTTCCACTCATCTCTACAATCCTCCTCGAAGGCTGAAGCGGCAGTGGCCCAGAGATCTATTGTAGTATATATCTTGGAGTTCTGGCAATGGGCAGATTCTTCACTCAAGACATGAGTGTATGTGGCTAAAGCGCTCTGGCTCAAACTCCACTAGCTTTAGCAGCAGTGACGCGGTTGAGAGAGTAGGTGAGGAATCTCTTGGGGAGAGTAGCGAAGGGATCTTTTTATTGCACATAGTTTTTTATTATTACTTTCCTTTTGTTAATTTTATATTTTTTGTAAATATGGTATGTATTTTGTATATCATATATCACTGTAATTATTGTCCACGTGACAGATAGTTACATTTCTAAATTAATAAATTTAAAAAAAAAACCTTCATTCATAGTTCTATATTTCAACACTGCAATCGCCTAATCTGGGACCAACTGACTCACTGTCTGTACGGATATTATAAATTTTCCAACTAGGAATATTACTGAAATAACTTTACCTAAAAATTTTGAAGTTGGAATTAGTCATTCTGTCAATCGAAAGGCTTATTATACATTCTTCGATTTATGTTTTGTGTAAAATAATAAAAAAATGTTTCCGATTTTAATTTAAATGTCTAAAATATGACAAGATTAAAATTTTCATAATAGAAATTAAATACAAAGTTTTGGACTTTAAGTTAACTTTAAGTTTGGAAGTAACCTTACGATGCTTTTTAGCAATAAATAGAGGGCAAACAATTCCAAGGATTCAAGATAACGATATTTATTTAAAAAGGCGCTATGGAAAAAAAAAAAAAATGTCGAACGGATCCAGGAGGAGCTGTAAAATCACGGTTATAATTCTGACAAAACTTTATAATTGCCAAGTCCAAACTTGGCATAAATACTTCTCAAAGTTTCTTGAAAAAAAAATCCTGAAAGGAAATAATTTAATTTTAAATATCTATATTTTAATATTCTATTAATGAAATGATTAAAATTATGATGACAAGGAAAATAGAGACAGTATTTGAGGGGATTTGTTGCCTCAGACTGGATAAACAGCGAGCTCATTGGGATATTCATGATTGGCAATTAGGTGAATAATAAAAATCCATTTGTTGCAATTCATGGTTACCGTCCAGCTCGTGACTACTTATTAATGTAGCGCTTCCATTATTCCGCACATGTTTAATTTCCAATGGCATGTTTTACTTGATCAAATAACAATCGCATTCTCTTGGTTGTGCAAAAACGATGGGAATAAAATTTATCAAAAAGCGGTCGATGAATTTCAGGGATATATAGTCCTTCATCACTGAGAAATATTCCAGTCATCAACATTCTTGTCAACCAATTGAAATAGCTCCGGTGCAATCGTGATATAAAAAGTAGTTATAATCGGGTTATTACAGCCCTAAGACGTTGATTGCGTACGATATAAAGATCTTCCACGACGTGGGTGGGCCAATGTCGAACAATGGGATCATATAGGTCATGTCTATACCAGCATGTCACGTACAATAAAATTCATCTATATCTTTTAATATGGGCATTACGATGGTCTAACGAAAATAAGTCCTAAACGTTCGAATAAACCCAGTAGAGCACAACATTTTAACAAATAGATACGTAAAAGTGAAGGCATTCTAAATGATAAAATACCACAGATCAGGTTAATTAATGAAGTCAGTCTTAGCTGAGAAGAACTTGGAGAATATCAAACGTAAGTTTGCGTGAAAATATCTATCCGTCCTAACAAAGTAAACTTATTCTGTTGTGTTAATTGTTCTTGTGTCTTTTTTTTTTTTAACCTAATACGCCTTCAGCCTAGGAGACATCTTAGCTAAAACTAATTTAGTAAAAAAATAGTATTTTTTTAATCGTTTTTATATTTTTTCGATGATGAAAAGTATTATTTACTAAGAATTATTTATTATCAAAATATTGAAGGAAGTGAGTCGACTGTTCTACATTTCATGGGTGATAAATAATCAGGATGCAGTCATTTTAATTTAAGTACACTTGAAATTAGTATTGCCGATAATACCATTATGAATAAGTTTTCTAACGTTGGTGATAAATAGTCAGGACGCAGTAATTTTTAAGGTTTTTTATTGGTGCCGACGTTTCAACCCAAGCATGTCATCATCAGGGAGTATTTCGAGCACTGAAGGAGTTCAAATACTCGTGGGTAAATTCATCCAAAGTACATGTGGGTGTTTGAAAAGTGTTCG